CTCTTCAGACATTGTACAAAAATGATTGATAAGAAGAAGAGAGAAGTATGAACGGAAGTTTGAAGTTTGTATTGAATGAATTTTCATAAAATTGAAACGCCTTTAAATAAGGCAAGTCCGAGCTTGGGGTGCAAAATTTTTTAAGGAATTCGCAGTACAATACTACGTTTTATGTGTTTGAATTATTGTTATGTCAGTTAACTGGTGGGGCCAAATTAATAAAGAAGTCGCAGTATAAGTAATCCGCAGTATTGTACTGCGAATTAGTTAAAAAAAAATTCTAATTCGCAGTACTGTACTGCAAATTAGTTAAAAAAATATTTTTTTATAAATAATTCGCAGTACTGTACTGCGTATTAGTTAATTTTTTTTTTTAATAATTCGCGGTACTGTAATGCGAATTACTTTAACGGCTAAATTTCCGTTAAGGTAATTCGCAGTATAGGTAGTTATGTAATTTTTTTTTAGTAATAAAAACGTATTTTATCCAAAAAACCATTAGAAAAGTTTCGGACTCAAGAACTCGACCTTGTCTCACATACGACTCCGACGTCGTTTTTGTGTTCATGTTAAAATAAATAAACAAAGAGAAAAAAAAAGAAGGGAAAGAAAAAACAAAGTAACGGAAAAAAAAAAGAAAAATAGAAAATGAAAAATATCCAAACGCAGGAGAAACACTGAGGAGAAGTCTGGGCGTTTGCGCACCTTTCATCAGCAGCCACAAACAAGAAAATAGAGAGAATTAAGAGAAGTGTGCAAATTCTCAGAAAAAATATAGAGAAAACTCTCAAGTGATTAGTTTTCTTTTGCTTTGTACATACAAAAAAGTTGCAATTTTTGTTGTACCGTCTTGGCTCTGGAAAAAATGGCAGTAAAGACACCCATAACAGGGATAAGCATGGCTTCAGCACCCTCTATTTCATCTTATAATAGGGTTATTGTTGTAAAATCACTGCCTTTCAGAGCTTCTTTCTTTGGTCAAGGAGGTAACTTTCTTGCTTTCTGTAAAATTTGCTATACTGGGTTTTCTTTAATTTGCTCTATTTTTGCTTAAATTATCTGAGTGTGGGATTATATCTTGAAAAGATCAGAACTTTATGTTCAATTGCTTAGCGGGGTTTCTTTAATTTGCTCTATTAATGCTCAAATTATCTGAATGTGGGATTATCTTAAAAAGCTCAGAACTTTATGTTTAATTGCTTAGTGGGGTTTGTTTAATTTTCTCTATTGATGCTGAAAACGGTATATAAGTGTGGGATTAAATCTTAAAAGATCAGAACTTTATGTTCAATTGTTTAGTGGGTGTTGCATTCTTGGTTCTTTTCTCAATATTGTACAGACCCTTTTCAGTTTTTATACTTTTGGTTACTGTAGTTTTACCTATTTTTAGATGGTGTGGAGGTTGAGAATAAAGGTAAAGGGTTTAGGTAGCCGAGCGTTGTCCTTGTTTGTAACAGTAGCTTTAGTACATTACTTAGTGTCAATCGTGTATTTTCGTATCCCTAGACTTCTGTTATTACTTGATGTTGCTTTCGTTTCGATTTCCTGATTGCATTACTTAGTGTTAGTTCTGTATTTTCACTTCGGTTTTCCGATTGGTTTGCTTGTTGTTGCCCCTCCTGTTTAGCTGTCCTGAGCCGAGGGTCTTCCGGAAACAACCTCTCTGTCTTGAGTCTTCTTAAAGGTAGCGGTAAGGTCTGCGTACACACTACCCTTCCCAGACCCCATTGTGGGATTGCACTGGGTTTTTTGTTGTTGTAAGTAATGTCAAACTGTGGCATTTATCAATTCACTTAATGTAAAGATGCAGCCTTTTGTTTTATTTTATATCTTCACTTCTTCTATGTCTGATTTGATTAGAATTTGTGAACCAATTCTCTTAATAAGTTGTAGACTGTTAGAAACTGGTTGATGAAGTACTTCTATTTTGTCCCGTTTTAAAATGCTTTGCGGTTGAGTATTCATGCATTTCAAGTGGATAGTGCATTGGAATTTATCAACATTAAAGTTTGTATTTTGAACGTGCATGGATGCATTTTTCATCTTTGAGTAGGACGATGTAGAACTGTAGATATAGACATAGGCCCTTTAGGTGCTTTTTTAAGTTATTGTACTGGTGTTTGGATTTGTATGTAGAAAGGAAAGTCAGGTTAATTAAGACATCGCAAATAGATAGTGTAGAACGGATTTGTGATGTAAATGTGTTGAACTTGCCAAAAGGTAATAAAAAAAGGAAGAAAATGATGTTCCACCTCAAACCCCGTGTACACCAATTCCATGAATTTCTCATAGCCAAATGTCATCTGGGTTGCTGCTAAACTTGCCAACTCTTATGTTCCTTTGATATACCCGTATAAGTGAGATGAAGTGCACAACTTGAGCTTCAGGCTTAAGCGTGCCTCAAGCGAGGTTTAACAAGATATCCCTTTATATTCCATTCCACTTTGCTCTGGTCCAGTTCATTGCAACACCAAATATTTTGTCTTTCTAAGTCAATGATTCTTTATAACTAGAGGTTTTCTAACCAATTCCTATACGTACATAAAAGTCTCTATCCAGACCAATCAGACCTAGAGTGTAAGGGTAACAACAACAACTAACATTTAAACCTTGCTAGTTGATATTGCATATATGGATTGTTTTTGCTTCCGTAGAGTTTTGTTCTTAGATACATTTGCATTTATTCAGTTTGGAGTAAAAGTCTTCTGAGACAAAATTTCTCTCTCGAGATTTTAGGTCTACCTTGTCCTTAGCACTTTCAGTCGTCATTGCGTCAGACTTAATGGCGGGTGCATTTGGAGGTCTACGTAGGGCATGGTTAAATTATCAAGTGTACAGGTTTGAGGTGAAAGCTATCTTTAAAGAGTAAAAAAGACGAACGTCATTTTGCTAAGAGGCTTCGTACTTTTAATATTGTATAGGTTGACCTAGTAGTTTGGAGAGAACTCCCCAACCACTTTTAATATAGTATAGATGACTTTATACTTGTGTCACTCCTTGCGGATGTCAGCATTGTCACCTTCAACGTGCTATCTCATAAGTTGCCTAATTGTTTTTGCGCTTTTGGCATTCTTTGAGGCTGCCAGAACAGCTAGTGCTATAGTCCCTTCTATGCGTGTTTTTGCTTATGCTATCATAATCTGAGGCTGAGCTTATGTGTAAGAAACTTGGATATTATTCGTATGTACATGTAGCTCCCTGTTTCTTGTGTAAAATAGAAGAAAATTGATTTGTAGTTGATGTGCGATTGTTTTAACATGATCTCATCATTGCTGAAGAGTAATTAATGTGTCGGTCAATTTCCTTCTTCAAATTTTGTCTTACCTCAGACGCCTACTTGCTTGTGCTGGTTAAGCTTTGTCCAGCCTTTTAGCTGATTGATGAAAAACGTTATACTTGTTCTATGTAAGGGTTGGCTCAATTTGAACCATGTCAAAGCTATGTGCCCTTTATAAATAAAACAGCAAGTTGGCGTAGCAAGTACTGTCAAAGCTTTGTGAATATAGAGGGTGGACATTTAAAATTATATATATTACCAATTATACATAAATTGGAAGGATTAGATGTATAAGGTTTTTATCGTACACTACTTAGGTATATAACAAAGTGCAAGTTTTGATTTTCAACATGTTCAGGTCATAGATCAAGATATGCCTTTTTTGGTTAGAAAAGCATAATATGCTGCTGCTTATGTCGGAGGACTAATTGGTGTCTCCTCAGTTTTAACTTCTTTCGTTACTCTGCTTGACATACCCCCTTCGTGTCGTATTTTTCTCTGCCCCCCTCCCCCCTCCCCCCCTCTCCGATCCTTCCCAAGCATTAGTTTTGCTGACGCACTCTATTCACTTGCAGTTGGAGCTGTAAAACTTGCAGGGCTACAACTTACTCATTCTAATAGATCCAGATGCAACAGTCATGGTGGTGGTGCCCTTGGAGCTCGTATGAATCTATTTGATCGGTTTGCTAGAGTTGTCAAGGTTATTTGGTCCATGATGTTTGTCATTCATTAGTCACATCTCCTCTCCTATCACTTGTTCTCAACTCAGATTATTTTTTCTTTTGTGTTGAATAGTCATATGCAAATGCACTTATAAGCACCTTTGAAGATCCAGAGAAGATCTTGGAACAAACTGTGCTCGAAATGAATAACGATTTGATAAAGATGCGACAAGCTACAGCACAGGTATGCTCTTAGTGAGTGCCTTTTATGTCTTTTTTTCTTTTTTAACTCTGTTGCCTATTGCGATTGAGATTCCATAGTTAAGGAAGTGAAAAAACTCAATGTTTTTCTTTTTCTGAAGGTATTGGCTTCACAAAAGCAGTTGGAAAACAAGTATAAAGCTGCACAACAAGCTTCTGAAGATTGGTAAGAGCTAGAGAACCTTAACAGGTTCTGTTTGTAATAGCTAAGGTTTAATTTTGCTTCAATCATAGGTATCGTAGAGCCCAACTTGCTCTTGGAAAAGGGGATGAAGACCTTGCTCGTGAAGCTCTTAAAAGAAGAAAAGCTTATGCTGTAAGGCCATTTTCTGTTGGAAAATTGGAAAAGTTCATTTATTATGTAGTGTTTGATATGGAGTTCTAATGGAGTTGGAAGTTATCTTATCTATCAGGTTATTGGAATTTGTGCTGTGGCCTTTCCTTTAATTTTTAGTTTTGTTGCTACTTTTATATCTAGTTGCCCTCAATCTCATATAAGAATAGAGCAAGAGTAGACCGAGGGATTTGGTTTGATGAGTGAGATTCTTGTGCGACATGGCTTATACAATTATTGATGAAAGTCTGAGGGAAGGACTTTCTTTTTATCCCTTAGATCTCATCTAAGAACTTTCCACTTGAACATTTCCTAATTAAGCAGAAAGAACGTTAATACTACTTGAATCTGCCTGTGTATCATGATTATATCCCTACCTAAAATTTTCAAAAGATAATTCTTACCGAAACTGAAGGAATTAGAAAATATAATAGAAGTGCATCAAGAAGTTGGAAATTTTTCTACCATAGGTTCAAGCGGCAAGAATTAGGATAGACAACTCAAGCTAACTAGCCTCAGGTGGGACCACAATTGCTCAAAAGGGTTGGTCTCTGTGATGTAATAGCACATATATTTGCTAGATTTGGTGGACTACTCTAGCGCTGAAATATCCTGAATGTCCGTTTTTTCCCTTTTAAACATCACATATAACAGAAGATCCGTCAGCATATTTATGACAGGAAAAAAAAAAGAAAAAAAGTGCAGCAACAATGAAATTATATCTTTAATAGTAACCTCAAGACTATAACCACATTTGTGTGTTTACTCTTTGACATTATTGTTTTCACCCTCGACAGCGGCGAAGCCAGGAAATTCAATAAGGGTGTTCAAATTTTGATCACCCTTTGCTAGTGGGCTATGCAAGGGTGTTCAAAGTCTATTTTTAATCAATAACAAGTAATATTTTACCTTATATGTAGTATAATTTTTCGGCGAAGGGTGGTCAGTTGACCACCCTTGGGCCGACATAGCTTCGCCCCTGACCCTTGGAGTTATGGTTTCAACAACAATGAGATTATGATTTCACACTTAACAGAAATCAAGGATTATTGATTGATGTAATGTTGGTTCTTGTCATGGTTTTCCATTGTATAATTGCAATACCAACACAAACACGAGATATCATAGATTTTATGTCTAATGTATCGGTTAACTTCTAGTGGAATCTGAGTGGAGATTGATACAACTAATTTTGATCTTTTTGATAAGTAAGCAACTATATAATTTAATTATGATTGGCATCCATGACTTTCTTATCTAGTTATGCAACATGGAAGCTGGTTTAAACTCCAAACATTCAGGAGTCTTATGGGGTCATTTTCTTTTCTGTATCTTATTAGATACTCTTTTGAGCTTGAGATGTCAAAGCGGGTGACCGTATAAACAACTAGTATATTTTAGCATTAAGTTTCCTGTTTCCAAGAACGAAAGAAAAAAGAAAGAAAGGAAGATATGAATAATGGAAAAAAAGGCAGGGGTGGGGTGTCTAGTGAACTTGCAGAGCGTTGTGCCAAGAACGCCACGCGCCATCATTTTCTTGATTGGCTTATGGGGTGTCTGTTTGAGAGGATAATGAAGTGACATGAACATCATAGCTATCAAGTCTCGAGTTTGTATCAACTCAAGTTTAAATTGTGCAGGATAATGCAAGTGCCTTGAAGGCTCAACTTGATCAGCAAAAGAGTGTGGTTGAAAATCTGGTCAGCAATACACGGGTATGTTCCTAAACTTTTCTTTTATCTGGAGAGCTTGTTATTCTAAAGTTTTTCTTTTTTATAAAAATGCTAAGCTAGATATTGATGAGTCAGTTACTCATCATTTGTGTGTATGTTTACATGTTTTCCGGTTAATAAAAAAGTTTTGTTGTTAATCTCCTTATTGTTTGGGAAATAGTTTATAGGTTTCATATAGCAACAATTACCAATCTGGTCTAACTCTGTTTTTCTTTGATTGGTGGTCCAACTCTATTTGTTAAAAATGAACTGGAGCTTTGTCTTTGACTGTTATAATCTCTCATCTGACAGCTTTTGGAGAGCAAGATCCAGGAAGCAAAATCGAAGAAGGATACTCTGAAAGCACGTGCTCAGTCAGCAAAGTCAGTTCTTGCCTTTTCATTATTTCATGTTTATCTTGAATTATAGCATCCATGCTCACATTTTGCGTATACCTCTTTTATATGGGGTATTTCCCCAACTCATCAATAAAATTTTTACTTCATAAGAAATATGCATGGCTCATAAAAATGTCGCACTTCTATTCTATAATTTATTTCTTTTGAAGAAAATGACTGTGAGGTTTGTCATTTAGGACCGCAACCAAAGTAAGCGAGATGCTGGGAAATGTAAATACAAGCAGCGCCCTTTCAGCCTTTGAAAGAATGGAAGAAAAAGGTTCTGACTACACTTTTCCCGCCCTATCTTTCCCTTCTTTCTTCTTTTGTTTCCAATTTCAGACGCTTCCTTTGGTTTTACTTTATATATTTCTTGTCCTATAATAATAGCTCTAGAGGTTGACTTTCTGCCTGCCCTAATTCAAAACAGTGAGACTGAGCGTTGATCATATAAGTCTCTTAAAGATGATCTTTAGTCTTCTCCTTAGCGTCTCAAGTACTTTATTTGTATGTCTATCAAAATGAAGGGTCTCGTATGTGTTTTGTCTGAGAAGTTATTCACTGAATACAGGCTTTTGCAAATCATGATGCTACCAACTGGAATATCTGGTACCTTAAAGCCTGTAAACTATGTGCTGCTAACATTGGCTGGTTAACCGCGGAGAATCACATATCTGCATCCTTTTTTGTAAAGGAATAACTTTGTTATTGTTGTTTGAACTGTTCTGGAGCACGTTCGCCTAAGTTTTTCTTTTCATCAGAAGAATATAACCTTCAGCAAAACTGTCAAGTCACTGATTCAAACGATTTGTATCTTTTTACATTCTCTTCTTGGCATCTAACATGTGACAGACAAGATGTATATTATATGTTATGTTGTCTTCAAAAGAGATTCGTACAAGGTTGTCTTAGCCAATTAATATAGCTCGTCATCTTCATTTGATCATTTTCAGTTTCATGTGTTCATAAAAATAGAATGGGACTATCTCAAATTTATTGTCGTTGTATCAGTTTTGCTGGGTAACAAGGTGATATTTCCACTTACTGTGATTGTGGCATGTTGAAATCATCTGCTACTGGGTATTGGGAATAAGAGTCGTTTATCCTGGATATAATTTAGATGAAACTGGAATCACCTCTGCTCGTTATGTTATAAACTATATGTGGGAGTGCTTAAATGATTGACTAACTTTTTCTTTATATTCTATAGTTTTGACAATGGAGTCGCAAGCTGATGCTCTTAACCAATTAACCAGCGATGAGCTTGAAGGAAAGGTATTGTAATATTTAAAAGTGATCCTAATGTTAATAGCCTTAGTTTGCATTTTCACCTCGTGTAACACAGCTATTTGGTGAAAAATAGGCTTCTTTTTTTTTTTTTTTTTGATAAGGGTGAAAAATAGGCTTCTTTTCTGTATTAATTTCTTGTGACCACGAAACGCCAAAAAAGAGTAACATGCTGGTGCTGCAAACACAAAGTTTTAGTTTCATTATGCAAAGCCTTAGTTAGAGAAGTTAGCGCTCCTTTGGAGGATTATATAGTTTATTATCCTAACCATCATGTGCTACTGACAGTTTGCAATGCTGGAAACCTCTTCCGTTGATGATGATCTTGCCAGCTTAAAAAAAGAATTGAGTGGCAGCTCAAAGGTACTTTCTACTTGATCTACCCGTATATAGAAATGAATATTTTGGACGTGTCTTCTTTCTTTATTGAAAGCACGACTTTGTGGAAGTATGGGCACCTGTAGGACAGACTAGTCTTCCTTCTAGATTGCAGTATGCTTGATTAAGTATGCTAAACCAGAGGCGGAGCTAAGATTTCAAGCTTGTGGTTCGGGAATTTAGTCATTTTAAGTTACTGGGTTCTACATTAATAAATTCTACATTTTCAATGAATTTTTTAGGACAAATATAAATTTTGAACCAAAGTTACTAGGTTCAGCCGAAACCACAGCCAACACTCTGGCTCCGCCCCTGTACTAAACCATACCAAGCATAGGAAGCAAGGTTCGGGAATAAAAGAAGACTCTCATGAATGTGGACCAGAGTTAAAAGGATGGTTTGAGCCTTTTTTCAATCAGGTAGTATAGCTTCTTTTTAATAGGCATTCAGTGGACGCAGAGTAGGTATAAACAAAATGGTTCCTACATAAAATCCAAGGAACCAACAAAATCCAAAAACTCAATTAAATGATATACATTAGATAATTTGCTCCAGCAAAAAAGATTTTGAAGACACTTTTGGGGTTGTACCTTGCATCGCAATATCTAAGCCACATGTTATCGATCTGATGACTGGAGCAAGAAGAATATGTATCTCTTTTTACTGGGAAAAAGACGAACCTAGAGCATATGGGGTGACGGAGTAGTTGAGGACGTATAATCTGCTTTCTTGTTATTTGATAGTCAAGGTATACAAAAATTATGTACAAAACATGATCTGTTTGCTTGTTGATGTGGTATTTCCTTCAAAATCTCCAGTATTAATTTTTCCTTTTATCGACTAGCAGAAAGGTGAGCTTCCACCGGGGAGAACGACAGTTGCCAGTTCAAGCTCAACATTGCAATTTCAAGATTCAGAGATTGAGAAAGAATTGAATGAATTAAGAAGGCGGGCAAATGATTTCTAGAGATCATATTTGATGTTCCACCATGTCCACATATCGTCTTCCTAACCCCTTTTTTACTCGAAGAATGTGTTCTTGGTTTCCAGAAAAGTTGCCTTATCGATAAAGGCAAACGAATATAGGAAGTGAAAAATGGAAAGTATATTGAGATATGTCGATACGTCTTCTTTATATTATTGACCTACATTATGGCAATATAGTGTAAGCTAGACTTGACTTCAATTTTGTATATTGTCACCCAAATGTTTCAGGAGTATAGTTGCTTAAGTTGCATTGTAGATTTGAAAATTCCATAGTGCTGGTTTTGCATGTTATCTAATAAATTCCCACGTTGTTTTCTTTGTGAGAATGCCTTAAGTTTTTCTAATTTTTGAAAAAATACAGCCTTTTTTTGCACAAAGGCTGTGAAACAACCGCAACTTTAATTATCCTAGGATTAATTATCTCGGGATTGTTGTCTCACCATTCCATTGGGATAAAAACAACACTACAATCCAAGGATAATTAATCTCGGGATTAGTTATACCGCGATTTTATCTTAACCAAATTTTATATAAACTCATATCAAATTTAATCTCGCGATTAATTATCCTTTATCCCTCGTACCAAACAAGCCCTAAAAAGAAACTAGAATGGTGTTATGCAACAAAATTTAATTTGCTGAGAATTTTGTATAGTTCTTTTTATGCTCTTAAAGAACAAGCTAGAGTTAGATCACTGAACGACGACTATTCTTCTTAGGACGAATGGAATACGAGGGATATTAGAGATTGTCAACTTATAAATTATTATATTATCAAATAGTAAATGGACTTACAGAGGAAATTCAAATTTTCTCTTTTAAATGAATGTCAAGATATGAGATGATAAATCTACTCTCATCTAGTCTTGTCTAAAAGTTAGAAAGTATAAAATAACAGACATAATTTTTAAAGGAAAAGTCTCTCACAAATCCGTTGTAGTCTAGGTGGTTAGGATACTCGGCTCTCACCCGAGAGACCCGGGTTCAAGTCCCGGCAACGGAATAAAATTTTTTGATCTTTTTGGAATCTTATTTTTTTGATCATTTTGGAATCTTTAAACTAGTATTCGCACTCGCGCGATGCGCGGATTGTATCAAAAAATATTAAATTGTAATCGGATTTATTTGAACATATTGAATTGTATTGTTCCTATAAATTTCCACGATCATTTATCAATAACCAATAATAGTTATTTGTGTTATTTAATTCATCTTATTTTATAAATTAAAGTAATACATCGCCATTATTTCTATCTCCTTCTTTGTGCATTTTTTCTATTTATTGACAATTAATTTTTCAGTTAGTTACGTATAATTTAAAGAATACCATATTTAAGATCTAATTGAGACTTTGAATTGTACAATAATGAGATAACAATTCTAGTTCTTTTGACCAAACCTTCGGTGAAATACGGAATTGAATTGATACATGCTTAATGTTAAAAAAATTGCTAACCGTCTCTATGAAGAAATTTTTTTGATCTTTTTGGAATCTTATTTTTTTGATCATTTTGGAATCTTTAAACTAGTATTCGCACCCGCGCGATGCGCGGATTGTATCAAAAAATATTAAATTGTAATCGGATTTATTTGAACATATTGAATTGTATTGTTCCTATAAATTTCCACGATCATTTATCAATAACCAATAATATTTATTTGTGTTATTTAATTCATCTTATTTTATAAATTAAAGTAATACATCGCCATTATTTCTATCTCCTTCTTTGTGCATTTTTTCTATTTATTGACAATTAATTTTTCAGTTAGTTACGTATAATTTAAAGAATACCATATTTAAGATCTAATTGAGACTTGAATTGTACAATAATGAGATAACAATTCTAGTTCTTTTGACCAAACCCTCGGTGAAATACGGAATTGAATTAATACATGCTTAATGTTAAAAAAATTGGTAACCGTCTCTATGAAGAAATCATAAAGTGAAAGCTAATCAGTTGTGGCAAAAAGAATAATTCAACCAATTCATGCACTGATAATATGACTTTTGTTTGGTGTAAGTATAACAATTTTTTTTCCATAAGCTTATTCAGTAGATAAATTTTTTGAATTTAATGTAGTTGATGAGCCTCATGAAATGACACATACATACTGTATGAACTTCTATTCTATTATGGTTAATGCCGCCACTAAATTTGTTCAACTAATAGCAGAAAAATATAAAAGAAGAATGAAACCTTCTTGATGTTTGCGTTTTCTGCATTTCAAAAACTTCTATTGCAAGCTAATGCATTATAAATTCACCCCTGTTATCCATCATCTGATTATAAATAAAACTAACTCCAATCACACAAATTAAAAACTGACAATAGTATATCAAAAGCTAACTATAACAACGCTCAAATCTAATACTTTTTAGGAAGGTAACAATGTATTACTATTAACCAATAGCTTAAACACCCTAATAATAAAACAATAACAACAATATATGGCCAGTGTAATCAACAAATAGAGTTTGGTGAGAGTAAGATATACGCAAATCTTACCCCTACCTTTGTAGGATAGAGAGACTATTTCTGATAAACTATTTTATACAACATTAATACATCCAAATAACTCGAAAAATACATTGAATTTATGCACATTTTCTTGTATGTTTCCTTCAACAGAACACAATTCATTTTGCTACTACAAAGAGATTCCTCCATATATGTATATTTTAAATAATATCAAGAAGAAAAATAAACTTTGAATGGAGAGACTTGTACATTTGAAATTATTTGTATGTAAATAGCATATGTAACTCACCTAATAATCTAAAAGGAACAATCTATATAGCCTACCAACTTACCAAGTATACCTTTTGGTTGTAAGTTTATTTTTCCTGCAGCCAAAAATTAAATATCATAGTATTAAGCATGCTGGACAATATTTTTAAATTAAATTATAAAAGTAAATATGATGATAGAAGAATAACAAAAATTAATTAAGAAATTCTTTTACAGAAGAACATCTAACCTTATGTTGCTAATTTTTTATTTTTTTTTATTTTTTTATAAATGCTCTTATCTAGAAACATAAGAAAGAAGCGTATAATTTCTTTCAAGTACAGAAGATGGTGTTCTTGATCTTTGGTACGTAACAGATCATCTACAAAAACAAATTCGTATGATTCAAATATCATAAATTAATAATACTAAACTATGGACTGCAAAAACAAAGTCCATATGTTCCAATAGACTGCAACTTATTTTACCCTGAATCTAACTCATCCTTCTTACAAAAATAGCAGCAATTTATCACAAAACACAATCTTGTGATACAAATATTAATGCAGTTTATTAAGTTTTAATACATTATATATGCCTATTTACTACTAAATATAAACCCTTGAATTCTAATAATCAAGTTCTTTAGTGTATCCTTCGAAGAATCCGGGTTTGACCAGATCTAAAATTTTATTGTCAAATATATCTATCCACATATATATGTAAAATAAGTGTCATCTTAAAGGACAAATTAAAAGTGAGCATGTACTTACCTCGCATTCCTTCTCTTCATCTACGCCTTGAATAGTATTGAAGTCAGGATCCTAATAAATATAAAAAAATTATTGAGTTCGAAAAAGACTTAAAATAATAGATTTAACAAAAATCTGCAACTTAACTACATGTTTTTGCTATTGATTACCCCATGAATATGCATATAGAAATTAAAAAAATATACGAAGAGCAAATCAAAAAATTCAGATTTGAAAATAAAAAAACGTAGAAGCAAACGTGATATATGCTGTAGTATATCACTGGGAAACGTATTTGAGGATACATATGTTTGGTGCACAAATTCTTCAATCGAGTTTTGATACTGATTATCCCATCAATACAGACATGCAAATTAAAGGACAGAGTTACCAAAACAAATTATCGACAATAACAGATGTTTAATACCTTTTTATCTTATAGAACCTATTCAATCGAGAAAGTAGTGTCTAAATTGTAACGATGTGGAAGAAATCATAAAGTGAAAGCTAATCAGTTGTGGCAAAAAGAATAATTCAACCAATTCATGCACTGATAATATGACTTTTGTTTGGTGTAAGTATAACAAATTTTTTTCTCCATAAGCTTATTCAGTAGATAAAATTTTTGAATTTAATGTAGTTGATGAGCCTCATGAAATGACACATACATACTGTATGAACTTCTATTCTATTATGGTTAATGCCGCCACTAAATTTGTTCAACTAATAGCAGAAAAATATAAAAGAAGAATGAAACCTTCTTGATGTTTGCATTTTCTCCATTTCAAAAACTTCTATTGCAAGCTAATGCATTATAAATTCACCACTGCTATCCATCATCTAATTATAAATAAAACTAACTCCAATCACACAAATTAAAAACCGACAATAGTAATTCAAAAGCTAACTATAACAACGCTCAAATCTAATACTTTTTAGGAAGGTAACAATGTATTACTAGTAACCAATAGCTTAAACACCCTAATAATAAAACAATAACATATGGCCAGTGTAATCAACAAATAGAGTTTGGTGAGAGTAAGATATACGCAAATCTTACCCCTACCTTTGTAGGATAGAGAGACTATTTCTGATAAACTATTTTGTACAACATTAATACATCCAAATAACTCGAAAAATACATTGAATTTATGCACATTTCCTTGTATGTTTCCTTCAACAGAACACAATCCATTTTGCTACTACAAAGAGATTCCTCCATATATGTATATTTTAAATAATATCAAGAAGAAAAATAAATTTTGAATGGAGAGACTTCTACATTTCAAATTATTTGTATGTAAATAGCATATGTACCTCACCTAATAATCTAAAAGAAACAATCTATATAGCCTACCAACTTACCAAGGATACTTTTGGTTGTAAGTTTATTTTTCCTACAGTCAAAAATCAAATATCATAGTATTAAGCATACTGGACAATATTTTTAAATTAAATTATAAAAGTAAATATGATGATAGAAGAATAACAAAAATTAATTAAGAAATTCTTTTACAGAAGAACATCTAACCTTATGTTTCTAGTTTTTTTTATTTTATAAATGCTCTTATCTAGAAACATAAGAAAGAAGCGTATAATTTCTTTCAAGTACAGAAGATGGTGTTCTTGATCTTTGGTACGTAACAGATCATCTACAAAAACAAATTCGTATGATTCAAATATCATAAATTAAAAATACTAAACTATGGACTGCAAAAACAAAGTCCATATGTTCCAATAGACTGCAACTTATTTCACCCTGAATCTAACTCATCCTTTTTACTAAAATAGCAGCAATTTATCACAAAACACAATCTTGTGATACAAATATTAATGCAGTTTATTAAGTTTTAATACATTATATATGCCTATTTACTACTGAATATAAACCCTTGAATTGTAATAATCGAGTTCTTTAGTGTATCCTTCGAAGAATCCGGGTTTGACCAGATCTAAAATTTTATTGTCAAATATATCTATCCACATATATAAGTAAAATAAGTGTCATTTTAAAGGACAAATTAAAAGTGAGCATGTACTTACCTCGCATTCCTTCTCTTTATCTACGCCTTGAATAGTATTGAAGATGGGATCCTAATAAATATAAAAAAATTATTGAGTTCGAAAAAGACTTAAAATAATAGATTTAACAAAAATCTGCAACGTAACTACATGTTTTTGCTATTGATTACCCCATGAATATGCACATAGAAATTAAAAAATATACGAAGAGCAAATCAAAAAATTCAGATTTGAAAATAAAAAAACGTAGAAGCAAACGTGATATATGCTGTAGTATATCACTGGGAAACATATTTGAGGATACATATGTTTGGTGCACAAATTCTTCAATCGAGTTTTGGTACTGATTATCCCATCAATACAGACATGCAAATTAAAAGACAGAGTTACCAAAATAAATTATCGACAATAATAAATTTTTAATACCTTTTTATCTTATAGAACCTATTCAATCGAGAAAGTAGTGTCTAAATTGTAACAATCTGCTTCTTCCAAAATATTGCATTCTTGAAATTTTATAGCCTTAATTCAATTTTTGCAGACATCGTATGGTTTCTTGAATATTTTATAGCAGTGGAAGATTTGAATTTAAGAACACTATCAATCAGAGAAATAGAAGTTGGGCGGCAGTTTGTTTTTGTGAGTTTCATGTGCGTATGTTTCATGAGTTATGCGTGGTTGAGCAACTATCCATTATCTTTAGATTAGGTTTTGTAGAGAAAATTTAGGGAAAGTGGGTTTAAAATATGTAACTTCTTTTGTTTTAAGAAATATCCCAACAAACGTGGGACTTTATGTAGATGTAAACTAAATTGAAAATTTTAAACTTTGTGAACTTCTTTAAACAAATAAAAAAAAACACAAAAAACGTAAAAAAAAGAGAGCAGTTTTTTAGGTTTAACGAATTAAAAAAAATATCCCAACAAACGTAGGATTGTAAACTAAATTGGAAGTTTCAAGCGTAGTGTACTTCTTTTAAAAAAGAAAAAAACGGTTTCTTTAAACATGGCCTCCTTTTGCGTTGGAGGTTTTTAAACTATTTTTAAACATGACACCCATATCACCAACAAAGTTAGACGACATACAATCAAAAGTTGCCTCCTCGTTTTCTTTCACCTTTGCCATGCTATTCAGAGGGAATGCAATCTAAAAATTGATAGGTAGATTGATTCAAATATGTTTTGCCTCAAAATCACAAGTTAAATATATTCCTATTTAAATTAATCTTCAAAAAATAGCATTTTGTATCATTCATCTGATCTTATCTTTAAAAATCAATTAGAATTATGCTGAGGCAAATGTAATTAATATGACCGCAATAATTTTAGCTCAAACATTACATGTGTTAAACAATTAATTAAATAAATACAATTACAATTTCAAACCTAATAAATTGAGTGAACTGCCATAAATTTCGAACTCAAACTAGTAATGTTCAAATTTTGTATTCGCCCCTATATTATGATGTTGTATTAGCTTGAGGTTAAATTTAGGACCCGTTTGACCATAGACTTTGTCAGAATATATTTAGGTTTTTTTTTCCGGTAAATACATGTTTGGCCATAGATTTTATCTATATTTTGGCTAATTCCCAAAATCAGCTCAAGAACTGATTTTGGCCCAAAATATCACTATTGCATTTTTTAAAAATTGCCCAAAACTTTTGTATTTTATAAAAGAGCCCACCATTTATTATTTTGTAACAACGCTGTTTCGTTTTCTCGGTCATCTGATAATTTATTATGTTATTCATTATAAAAATAATAATTTTGTACCAAATTTATTTATGTTCAGGACTATGGTTTGCAATAATATAATGAATGTTATTGATAAAGGTACTGTTGGGTATTTGTGACAATTTTTAAAACTTATGGGTATAAGTCATGTTTCATATTTTTTCAAAAAAAAAAAGTAATATATGTTTTGAAAACTTATGTCCAATCACATTTTCATCTTCAAAACCAAACTTCAACCAAATCAAATTTTTCGAACAAATTTGGGAATCTATAGCCAAACCTACCTTAGTATCCAAATATTGACATACTGCATTATATGACGTACCATGTGCATTTCTAGGTTGTACTTCAAAAAATCCAATCTAAATAAACACCAGCAGCTCCCAAAAAGCTCTCATTTTCCAAAAATGGCCTCCGTCCCTCTCCTTCGTTTCTCTCTCCATCCACCTTCCAAAACCCTAACCCCCAAAACCCACCACCCCCACCTACTCCTACCCCACCCCCTCAAACCCATCCTCCCCAAATTCGTCCAAACCCAGGCCCAAACCCGAACTCAAACCAAGCTCAATTCCATCTCCGCCACCTACAACCCAATCCCCGCCACAGACCGCTTAATCTCCGCCGTAGCTTACTTTCTCCCCTTTTTCAACGGCCTTCAATACGGCCGTTTCTTATTCTCTCAATACCCTTCCCTAACTCTCCCATTTCAGCCAATTCTTCCACTTCTCTCACTCTACCGTTCAATCCCATACGCTAGCTTTGTCACGTTCTTCGCCCTCTACTTGGGAATTGTACGGAACGAGAGTCTAAACCGTTACGCCCGTTTCAATGCGCTTCAAGCGGTTGTACTTGACGTTTTATTGGTGGTACCTATGTTGATTCAGCGGATATTTTCTCCGGGTCAATCTGGAATTGGGCTGAAACTTACAATGATGATGCATAATGGGCTTTTTGTTTTTGTTGTGGGCTGTTTTGTTTATGGGCTTGTTAGTTGTATCCTTGGGAAAACTCCTTACTTGCCTTTTGTTACTGAAGCTGCTAATAGGCAAATGTAAGTTTTTTTGTTTGTTTGTTGTTCTATGGAGATGCAGGAACGTTTTGTTATATGTTTTTTAATTTCTTTTGGTACTTAATATTTGGAAATGAAATGAAAGGAATTTTGTCCATATGTTGTATTTTTTTTTAATGTCAATTGTTACGTGGTCAATTGATCATCATTTGGTTCAAGTAAATTTGAATATTTTAAGGTAGGAAACTTGCTACTTTAATCCATTACAAATGCTGCTTTAGTTATTAGGAGATCATTTCCTCTTTTAAGGTCTCATGAAATGTTTCATTTTTGGGGACTTTACAATTTGTGGTCTAAAACTTATTCTCAACCAGTAAGTATCTTGGTAGAGAACTTCTATTATTATTATTATACTTGAACTTGTATTTTATTTTATTTTATTTTGGTAATGATGATGATATGTGCTGAGGTTAATGAAAGGAATGAGAATTTATATCTCTAACTTATTTGGACTGTGGTGCAGTAATAGTAGTAGTGGTGGTAGTTTTTGTAGTATCATGAATTGAACTTGGCTAATGAGAGAGTACATATCAAACCTCATAAATCAAATATGCAATGTCTGGTAATTAAAATGTTAGAAATGTTAAAAAGATATGTCATCATCATTGATCCATCAAGACAAAACCAATTTTCCTAACTTTTATTGCAAGTCACTTGTCTGAAGCATCACTGAGCGAGAGTGAGGCTAACGTTAGTAGACGATAGTGCTGACACCTGAGAAAGTATGATGGTGTTCGGACCAATTTGCGCACATATTGACTATTTTATCGACGAACATAACTTCCGCATGCCTCCATTATTTTATTGGTACGTGTTACCTTTCACCAGTATTGATATTAGATAACTCTGTCTGCTGCCGAGGCTCAAGGCTGATGAAAAGAAATGACCTAGTGTTCTTTGTGTCCTCGCACCACTTTATCCATATGCAAGCTCATCCGGAGACCACAAGCTTCGCTTTGTATGGAAATCATGGTGGGTCTTACACCCAGGGGCGGATGCACCTTGGTCGAAGCGGTGTCTCCGACACCGCTTCGATGGAAATCTTTAATAAATATATGTATCTAATTAATATGTAAATACAAGATATGATACAAAATGATTAAAAGGACAATACTAGGAAACAGTTCGCTCTTCAGCCTGCCTGGTTAAGTGCCTCAGACTTTTTTTATAGAGGTCGTGAGTTCGAATCTCTAGCTGTTTGAATGTTATAAAATTTTGAGCACCATGACAAAAAGTTCCGCTAAAATATATTTTTGCCAACTTAAAACCCTATTTTTAAAAAACTACTCATTCTCCACATTTGCAATTTCTGAAAATAGGGCATGCTGCTTGTGTTTCCATTATAAGTCACCTTGATACTTTTTTCTTTCTCGACGATAAAGTTGAGTAATAGTACTAATTTACTGAATCAAACGGTAGTTGATTTTTTGAATGGTTATTTGGTGCCTTAAATTAATATTATTTCTAATAAAGTTATTATAAATAAATTTCAAAAAGTGAATACTCTGTATAGACTTATAGTAATATACTTGAATTGCATTTTATTATTATAATATGTTTTGTTAATATGATGTCGTTATATAAAGATTTGTTTACTTATTCACTTTTTTATCGACACCGCTTATGAAAAGTTCTGCGTACGCCCCTGCTTACCCCAGCAACGTCATTACACTATATTCAGGTCATGCAGAGAGATCAAATAAATGTAGATAATTTCTCATGTTGCAGACCTTTCTTGGCTAGCTCAAGGTTGTGCCCTCAAGAGATTCACATTTTAGTGACCTCAACGGCCAAACTTATATACTCCTAATCTATAATCCAAGCACTGAAATTTCAGCAATGTACTCAAAAGTTCCGAACCCTGAGCCTGTGTCCAGGACCGGCAGTTGTGCATCATGCCTATTAGCCATAGACATTCCTCAACTGTACAGCCATATTTATATTTGTTGCTGTCCAATGTATCATGGAGAACATAAATGTTTCTCTATTCTCGTGCATAGATACATTGCTGAAGGGCCGAACTTCAAGTGATGAGAAAACTGCAATTTGTTCATCATACAAAGCCAACATCAGAGGCATAATCAATAAATGTATCCTTCTCGTGCAGCCCACTGAAATATAGGGCTCGTAACTTGGAAATCGTCTGAAAACCATGTCAATGCGACCATCGATTTGCCATTGTTTTCCAGCACCTGAAAGCAAACTATAGAGTGCAGAAAATGTGATTTATCGACAACTCTTGCAAGTGTACGACTCTTAAGACCTTTAATAGTGCCAAAGTTTCATCACATTGATACTACCATGACTTGAGTTGCTAAAGACTCGCAACAAGTAGCTGCCCCAATTATACTGTACTCCAACCAACTTCTTTCCTCACTTTCCTTTCCTTCATTATTTTCCTCACCATTTCAACCTCTTCCCACATTCCTACAGAACTGTATAGGTCTGAGATTGCTACATAGTACCCATCATTTTCCGGGTCAGAGTCAATGGCATGTTTTGCAATTCTTATACCCTTCTCAACCTGACAGTGAATTTTACAAGAACCAAGTAAAGAACCCCAGATAGCTGAATCAGGAGCAATTGGCATGGACAAAACCAAAGCTTCAGCATCATCCAAATTACCAGAACGACCTAAAAGATCGGCCATACAAGCGTAGTGCTTCAGTGTAGGCATCAAAGAATAATCTTTCATTCTGCTAAATATGGACTTTCCTTCTTCAACCAATCCTGCATGAGCACAAGCTGAGAGAACAGCAAGAAAAGTCAGTTCATTTGGCTTATTTTCCGACTGTTCCATCTGTTTGAAAATTTCTGTAGCAGAATTTGCTTCTCCATACATAGCATAGCCTGAGATCAGTACGTTCCAAGAGACGACATCTCTCTTATCCATTGAATCAAATATTTCTCTGGATCTTGTTAGCTGTCCACATTTCGCGTACATATCAGTCAAAGCAGTAGCAAGCAAAGTATTCTTTTCAAACCCAACTTCCTTGATGTATTCATGAATTTTCTCTCCTTTTTCCAAGGACGAAATATGAGAACAAGCAGAGAGCAAAATCAGCAGCGTTGCAATAGTAGGCTTGTAGCTTTCTGCAATCATCTTATTGAATAGGCCATAGGCCTCTGTAAATTTTCCACAACTAATATAGGAAGTCATCATTGTGTTCCACGTGACAACATCCTTATTAGTCATCATACAAAAGAGTCTCCAAGATAAACTCAGGTTCTTGCTTCTTCCATACATATCTATTAGAGAATTGGTAACAGAAACATTTTCAAGCATCAGACTTTTAACAACATGGCAATGCAGAGACAGCCCTAAATGGAATTCTTCCAACCGGGAGCAAGAAGAAATTACAGATATCAAGCTGTTGACGTCACATTCAATTCCCAAATGTTGCATTTCTCTGAATAAATTAATGCACTTGCCTTCTAACCCAGCCTTGAAATAGCCAACCACCATCATATTCCAGGATTCTGTGGTTTGTCCAGTTCCTCCATCAAATATCTTCTCTGCCAAATTCATGAGTCTAAGCTTAAAATACATGGCCAATAATGTATTACAGACCATATGATCGTCAACATAGTTTCTTCTCAAGATGAATCCATGGAAAGCCTTAGCTTCAAAAGTCCTCATGGCATTACCTAGACCAGAAAGCACACAACTAATTACCATCCCATCTGGGGTTATCCCACTGGCCTGCATTTTCAAGAACATATCAATGCATTCGAAAATACACTCAAACTTTGCATAAGCAGCAATTATCGACGTCCAGGAAAACAAATCCTTCTCATCAACCTCACAAAACGAACTATATGTTTCTTCAAGCGAACCACATTTCGAGTACATTGACAGAAGAGAACACTGAACAACTTGATGACTACCAAAACCAGACTTAACTGTCAGCCCATGCAAGCATTTCCCTTCTACAAATGCACCTAAGTTTCCACAAGCTTGAAATCCACCCTCTAACGTCCGAAAATTAGGCCGTACCTCACTTTCCCCCTCCTTATGCATCAAACAAAGATACTCCAAGCCCTTCTCACTCTCCCCATTCTCCACATACCCTTTTACAATTGCAGTCCAAGAAACCACATCTCTCACAGTAATTTCATCAAACACATCAGCAGCATACTCCATAAACCCGCATTTTGAGTACATATAAACCAAAGATGATCCAACAGCAGCATTATTACCGTGAAAAAGATTCAATTTTGAGACTAACCCATGAATCTTTTTGCCATAATAAATCAACCCAAGTTCAGCACAAGCAGAAACAACAATGGGAATCGTAAACTGGTTAGGCAGAGCATTAAAACCCCGCATATTGGAGTAAAACTCAAGAGCTTCTGAATAATAGCCATTGGAGAAATAAGCTTTTATAATTGAATTCCAAAGAAAAGGGTCTTTAGAACTGATTAAAGCAAACACTTTTTTCGAAGAAATGAGGTGGTGTTTGTTAGAAGCGTATAAAGATATAAGCTTTGCTGCTATGTAAACGTTGTTTGTGTGTCCTGTTGTGATTATGAAAGCGTGGGATTGATGAAGCTTTTTGAGGTCTGAGGTTTTATAGGAGAGGAATGTATTGAGTCGATGGTGAAGGTAGTGGGAAGTTGTTTCAGTGGGAAATTCAATGGAACTTGAGTAGCAGAGTTTGTGAAGTTTAGTTCTGAACATGGGGAGAGTTTAAAATGAGACAATGCAAGCAAAAAGAGGAACGTTTATTGTAGTTGTGGAATTGTGCTAATAGAATGTTAATTGGTCTTTAATATTTGTGATCTATACTTTGAGTTTTCAATAGGAGAAAATGCATAAATACCCTTTTAAACTTGTTCGGGAAAATCATTTACACACCTTAACTTTACGGGTGTCCTAACAACCCACTATCCTTATCTAAACTAAATTTAATACCTCTTTCAAAATATCGAATCAGTCTTGTGGTGGACTGTGTTAACACGCGCCATGTATCAAATACAGCACCATTTTGTTTCTTTTTTATACTTTTTCTTTCCTTTTTCCACTCTTTTTTTTCATTTCATCTTCTCCACCTTCCTTATCATTATTTTCGCAGCCCGCCACCATGGAAAGCAGTCACAACCATAACCTCCCTTAAACCTATAAACTCTATCTCTGAAAAATCAGAACCACCTCCCCTACCATTCCACTTAAACATCTCTAATTTGACCATATTTTCGTAAAAATTGCACGGGGCACCCTATTTGGTCGCCCCCATTTAACCTATATCCATTTTTTTTAAAGTTTTAACTTGTACCCACTTTTTAAACAACTTCGGCCCCCTTTCTCCTCCTCCTTCTCCTCCTTCGTTTTCTTCTTTCTTCTTCTACAACGATGACTTCAACATTGCTCTCTTTGATTAATGAAGCTAAAGCAAATATACTGAGGACTTCCACTTGGATTATTATAACATTAAAAATCTGTCACGACCCCAAACCCGGTCGTGATGGCGCCCAACACAACTGCTAGGCAAGCCCGACCAATTATACTCTCAACCCGAGCGTAGAGCTCAAAACCATTTATTTAAAAATCATTAACAGCGAAGAAACCAAAATATAGCTGATAGATATAAAACAACCCGAATATCAACAATACAGAGCAACCTCCCAAAGATCTGGGGGTCATGAGTCTAGAGCCTCTACCAGAATAGCATAATAATACTGTAATACTACATAGTCTGAAGTACGCGGATAATCAAATAACAGGAACTAGGGGGAGGAGTCGGGTCCTGCGGACGCCAGGCAGCTACCTCGACAACTCCGAATGAAAACTCTGAAGAACAGCAATAAGCTCAACTAGCTCCTGAGGTATCTGGATCTGCACACATGGTGCAGGGAGTAAAGTGAGTACTTCCAACTCAGTGGTAATGGACATGAATAATGACATTGAAAGTAAGAAATCCCAATATACGACAAAGTAAAGCTACAACAGTATTTCTTCACATTTAACAGTGTAACATCAATAAGTATTAACAGATAGAGCAGATAAGGTTCGATGCATGAATGCAATGCAAATGCACATGACCGCTACGACGCGTAGCCCGATCCATTTGGGTACCCGCGCTCACTGTGGGGGTTCAGACTCCGGAGGGGCTCCTACAGCCCAAGCGCAATATCATAGTAACATACGCTGCGGCGTGCAGCCCGATCCACTATCAGTCCAGCTATATGCATGCAAGCCACACAGGCACAGTCAACTTACCAGTTTTAGTTCCAATTATCAGTAATTATCAATTAGGTGTTTGAAACCTTAGAATTTTGCTAGTCATTTTAGGACAAATGTTTAGCTCAGGACTGATATCATGAAAACATGCTATAAATCACAGAAACAGTGATAATAATCCCTACGGGATCCAAATAACCGGCACGCAGCCCAAATATATCCATAACCATCCAAGTAGGAGGTTTACCAGCTAATTTATAGCCAACAACACAGTACAACATCACTCGGGCGGACTAAGCCATAGTCCCCAATCACATTCGACCCCGCACTCACCGTAGAATACGTGTCTCGCCTCAATATAGCGTCACAGTGTGATATACCGGGGTTTCAAACCCTCAGGTCATCATCCACATCTATTACTCACCTCGAACCGGCCACGAGACTAGTCCGCTAAGCCTTTCCCTCTTGAATCAACCTCCTCGGGTGCCGAATCTGATCAAAATCACAAGGAATACATTAAAATAGGCTAATGGAACATAACCCAATCGAAAGAACTCGAAAAACACCCAAAAACACGAAGTTGGCAAAACCCGAGCCCCGGTCCCACTTCTCGAAAAATTACGAAATTTACATTTCCGGAATCCTCGTCTCACCACGAGTCCATACATACCAAATACACAAGAATCGGAGTCCATTTGACCCCTCAAATCGCCAATTTAGACTCTCTTAGGCTTCAAGCCCTAACCTCCATTTTTACCCTTTAATTCCTTGAATTTTCAGTGTTTAATCCTTGTTTTTATACCCTAACAACATTATTTGAGGCTACAAGTTCATACCTGATGGAATCTCCTTTGAAATCTCTCCAAATCGCCCAAAATCGCCTCTTCCCGAAGTCCCAAAATGTTTTTCTAACTTTTGAAATTTTGAACCCACTGTTCATTAAACCCTCAGCATTTTCCGCTTCTGCGGTCTTAAGCCGCTTATGCGGTTGCCGCCTATGCGATCCCAATGACCGCTTATGCGGTCTCTACAATAATCCCAGGACCGCTTCTGCGGTCGCTTACCGCATCTGCGGTGTCCGCTCTTGCGGAGAAACTTCCGCTTTTGCGGTAACTGCCCAGGCCCTCAAGGGCCGCTTTTGCGATCTCCCTACCGCATCTGCAGAACCGCTTAAGCGGCTCCTTTTCCGCAGATGCGGAAATACCAGAAGCCTCAAAAATCTGCTGCAACACCAAACATTCCAACTTCCGATTAACCATCCGAATTCACCCCGAGGCCCCCGGGACCCCAACCAAAAACACCAACACATCCTAAAACCTCATTCAAACTTGCTCCAATCCTCAGAACACGTCAAACAACACTAAAACCATTAATTTACATCGGATTCAAGCCTAAGTTTCTTAAAAACTTCCGCAATACGCATTTGATCGAAAACCCGACCAAACGACGTCCGAATGACCTGAAAATTTGCAGACATATCCAAAATCACCTAACGAAGCTACAACAACTCTCGGAATTCCATTCTGACCCTCGGATCAAATTCTCACCCATCAACCGGAATTCGCCAAAATACTAACCTCGCCAATTCAAGCCTAATTCTACACCGGGCCTCCAAAATCAATTCCGATCGCACTCCCAAGTCACAAATCATCCCCCGAAGCTAATCAATCACCGGAAATCACATCCGAGCCTTCTAACTCATAAGTCAACGTCCGGTTGACCTTTCCAACTTAAGCCTTCGTTAAAGAGACTAAGTGTCTCATCTCCTATCCAAACCAATTCAATTCAACTATAACTCACTCGTTGCTGGTAATGAAACATGAAGAAGCAGTAAATGGGGGAAACGGGTCTGTAATACATGAGACGACGGGTCGGGTCGTCACAAAATCCCAAATCAAGACACAATAAAAGTTCTTTGAAATTTCACTGTCTCCCACTTGGGTTGCTTTTGAATGATTCTTCTTCTCTCCATTTTGAGTATCTCTTTTCTGTCATTTTAAATTCCTATAGCTGATTTTATTTGATCACAGGCTCGATTAGCCAGTGTTGGACTTTCAAAAACCATAGCAGAGCTTCGAAATATCACTGGTAAACCACAAACAGAGAAGAAAAAACATAACAAAATTGACTACTTCTCCACTCATTTGCGTCGTTCCAAACGATCAAAAGGAGGTAATGAATCCAAGGTTGAGAAGAGCAAGGCTGCAGAGACTAATAAGCCGAAGAGGCCTACAACATGCTGAAGTTAATCAAATATAGAACAAAAACTTCAGCTCTAGAGCTGAAGTTCCCCAGTTACAAAAACAAAAACTTCAGCTCTAGAGCTGAAGTTCGCCAGTTACAAAACAAAAACTTCAGCTCTAGAGATGAAGTTCGCCAGTTACAAAACAAAAACTTCAGCTCTAGAGCTGAACTTCAGGCCCGGCTACTAGAATGCTGAAGTTTTGCGTGATTGCCTTCGCTACTTCAGCCCCGTATGCTGAAGTTTTGCCAAAAAGCGGTTACGTTTGCAATTTTTTTTGCAAAGCGGGCACAAGTTAAAACGTGACACAAAAAGCGGGTATAGATGCAAATGCCCCCATATTTCCTTCACATCATCTCACCAAAGAAAACCCACACACCTATATCGAAGAGAAAAGGAGAGAAAATTCCTTGTACGAAAAATGGTATTGGCGAACATCAAGCTCTCCAATCAAGTATTAAAATTATTCCAACCTAAATTCATGACTCAATTGCTTAAGAGAACTTATGTTTCTATCAAATCGAGGAGATTAAAGGGACAAAATATGAGCAATGAAATGGAGTTTGTAAAGGTAGGTGAATATGGCGGAGGAAACAGAGGAATAGGAATACAGATTCAACAAGAAAAGAGAAGCAAAAAATAAAACATGACTTAGTTTCAAAAAATGGGGAGGAAGAGGGTGACAATGGTTATGTTAAAATGAAGAAAGAGAAAAAGAAACGAAAAAGAAAAGAAAAATGAATAAGAAAAGAGAAAAAATTAGTATTAAGTTTAATTAGTTAGAGTATCCAATAGGAAAGTAACACCTGGACAATTAAATTAGTTTTAAGCTGTTTTTTTTTTTTTTGACTTATGCGCATCTACAAAATGAACTACACTTTTCATGCCAGGTCATCACTCAAAGGTATTAAATTTAGTTTAGATAAGAATAGTGGGGTGTTAGGATACCCTTAAAGTTTAGGTGTGTAAATGATTTTTCCTCACAAGTTTAATAGGTACTTTATGCATTTTCTCTTTTCAATAGTCTATTTTGTTATGGCATGTTTGGATGGTCGTTACCCATGGTTTCACAATGTACCATATTGTATTGTATTGTATTGTATGGTATTATATAGTATTAATGAGTACAATGTTTGGATAAACTATATCGTTTGTTGTAGTTTAATAATATTTTATTATTTGGTTTGACTGCATGGTACTGTATAATGGGCAGAGGCGGATCCAAGATTTAAACCCTATGGGTTCAGTCTTTAAGATTTTTAGCAATGACTCATTATATTTTAAAAGTTATGGGTTCAAATCTACTATTTGTTGCAATTTTAGTAGATTTTACACATAAATTTATGCTGCGC